GGGTACCCTAAGAATTTTTCCCAACAAAAATTCATCCAGATGCACTGCAATATCATTCACTCTGGTATGGACACTTCCATTATCCTGAAATTGAATGTTGTAGTAAATTCACGCACTTCCTCTTCATGAAGAATGGGAGATTTATTGTTGAAGGGATGCATCCATGACTAAATCTCCACCATGTCATGAAGTGAGTCCATTCAACGAAGGTTGATTATTCCCATGTCAAAAACCCTCCCAGCCAGTAAAGACTGCTTTTCAAATTGTCAACAGTTTCTTGTTTGTTGACCTCCTCTTCAATTTTTATTTGAGTACTAGGTCCCTGTGAGCTTTTCCTTTTTCCTTTAGAACTCTCCTTTGTGGATTTTGTTTTGTCAGACTTTTTGGTATCTCTTGATTTTGTCTTTCCAGATTTCTTCTTACCGTGCCCCTTTTCTGTCTCTTCAGCAGACACCTCTATGACACCAGACTCGGCATTTTAAAATTTGACATTTTGAATGTTCTAGCACTCCTGACTTCTGCTGTAGACCTTGCACTGGCTTTCAAAGCATCAGCCATCAAAATTTTCGCATCTGATCTAGTAGTAGGTCTCCTTCTAGGCACTTCTTCCACCACTTTTTCTTTTCCCTTTTTTGATACACTGACATCTCTCCTTTCAACCGTCAACTGAATAGAGTCATCATCATTGTCTGAATTAGAGGAGTTAGAAGATGGATACCTCCCAAAGTCTGGAGTTTTATAAAAAAAAATAGGTTCAGTCTCTCTGATCTCTTTACCTTGAAAAGGTTCATTTTGTTCGACCCTGACTTCCTCTCTCATCATAGCAAGACTCTCAATCACCAGATCTTCACTTGCTGCAAGAATGTTTGACTAAGAGGATTCGTTCCTTGGCAAATATCCTTCAAACAAAGCATCTGAAAGAATTTCATGATGAGGTCCAGGTCCACTAGGAACACTTAAGCTGTTCAGATCTATGGAGTGAAACAGATTTTCGGGAATATCTTGGGAAGAACTTGACGGAATATTAGACCTAGACCCTACTACTGAAGGAGAATAGAAAGCAATAGGTTCAATCTCACTAAGGGCTGTAAGAATTTGCTTAGAGTCGGATGAAGGATCAAACATTTTGTCAAGAAGAAGAAAAGAGTAACAGTTTTAAAGAAAAACAAAAATAGAGATAAAAACAGATTTAGTCTTTTCTCTTCTCCCCTTTTCTTTTATAGTGAAGGAATATTACAAGACGGATTAAGAATTAAAAAGGAAAGAAGAAGAGTTTAAAAATAATTGAAATGGTGCCAAGTCCCTTGATTTGACGCGTCTCTTGAAAAGTGAGTGATGGGACTAACGCTCAGAATGATCGATGACTGACACGTGGCTTTATCAACGGTCACTTTTTCTCAATTTAAAATTAATGTACAAATGCTAACCTCGACTGGGACAAGGTCCCATAACACAACTTTATCATCATTCCTCAACTATTCTAGCCATGTCTTTGCTTTGCTAGTCCTTCCTGAATGTATACCTACAATAGGTACCAAAAATGATCTAACTCAGATAATATATTATTGACACAAAGGATACCTGCACTGCAATTTTAGTCATCAAAAGAATTCAACTATTGAATATCTGGAAACCAGTGCAAAGTCATCATGCCTAACATCAACCCATTACTCTCAAATTGATCTTTTCTAAGAGCCTTGATAAAGATATCTGCAATTTGTTCCTCCGTTGGACAATATGTAAGAATAATATTTCCCTTTTCAACATTGTCTCTTAGAAAGTGATGTCTAACATCAATGTGCTTGGTTCTCTTGTGTTGAACTGGATTCTTTCTCATACTAACTACACTAGTATTGTCACACATAAGGAGAATAGCCTTGATGATTACACCAAAATCCTCTAAAATGTTGCTTGATCCATAACAATTGTGAACAGCATGCAGCTGCTGCTACATATTCAGCTTCAGCTGTTGAAAGAGCTATAGAATTCTGTTTATTAGTTCCCTAAGAAATAAGTGAAGATCCAAGGAAATGGGCCATTCCAGAAGTACTATTTCTGTCAACTTGATAACCAGCAAAATCAGCATTTGCAAAACCAACAAGATCAAAAGTGTCACCTGCTAGATAGAAAAGGACCAGGTCCCCTGTCTTCTTCAAATATCTTAGAATCCATTTTGCAACCTTCAAATGTGAACCGCGAGGACATGCTTGGAATCTAGCACATATTCCAACACTATATACAATATCAAGTCTGCTAGAGTCAGATACAACAAGGATTCAATGATTCTGCTATATATGGTTTGATTCACAAGAGAATCAAATTCATCTGCTATAAGCTTGGAGTTTGTTCCCACAGGAGTATCAGTAGACTTAGAATCAAACATATTAAATTTCTTCAACAGCTTCTTAATGTACTTCTCCTGACTGATTGAGATTCCATCTGATGTTTCCTTGATTTATAGCCCCAGAAAGAAGGTCAATTCACCCATCTTGCTCATCTCAAACTCCTTTCCCATTAATGATGAAAATTCTTCACACAAATGATCTGATGTAGCACCAAAGATTATGTCATCCACATATACCTGAATAATAAGCAATTCATGTTCTCTTTTCATAAGAACAAGGAATTGACTATTTTCCCTCTTTTGAACCCATTTTTTCAATAGAAACTTTGACAATCTTTCATACCAAACTGTGGGGACTTGTTTTAAACCATATAGAGCCTTATTCAATTTGAACACATGATCTGGTAATTCAGTATCTTCAAATACAGGAGGTTGTTTAACAAACACCTCCTCTTTTAATTCGCCATTTAGAAAAGCACTCTTAACATCCATTTGATATAGCTTGAAGCCCATGAATGCTGCAAAAGCTATTAGAATTCTGATAGCCTCCATCCTTGCAACAGGAGCAAAAGTTTCATCATAATCTATTCCTTCCTCCTGATTGTATCCTTAAACAAGTAATCTGGATTTGTTTCTAGTAATCACACCATTTTCATCAAGCTTGTTTCTGAAAACCCATCTAGTTCCTATCATTGTTCTGCCAATAGGTCGAGGAACCAGGTACCACACCTTACTTCTTTCAAATTGATGAAGTTCTTCTTGCATTTAATTGATCCAATCTGCATCACCTAATGTCGCTTTCACATTCTTAGTCTCAATAGATGATATAAACATTGAGAATGCAACTAGATTTCTTGTTTTTGATGAAGTGTGAATTCTATAATTCAAGGGTGAGATAAGATTATCAAGTGGATGTGATGAACTATGTTTCCATCCTGGTCTCAAAGTCGACTGGTTCAACTAATCAGTATGCTCTTCTTCTTCAATGAACTCATTATTTGCTGGAGAGTTTGAGGTATTCTGACTGGAGTTCAGAATGGTACCAGGTCCCTCTTCACATTTTTCAACTTCATCAGCCTTTTAAGATAGACTATGATTATCGTTATCATTGTCATTCCTCAACTGATCATTTGCACCAGCTTCACTTCCTTCAATTTTCTGTGAATTAAATAGCTTAATCAACTCATCTTCATCATTTGATGCATCACTTTTCAAACTTCCATCTTAATCAAACAGTACATGAATACTTTCTTCAATTCATTGAGTTCTTTTGTTGAAAACTCTGTATGCTTTACTTGATGAAGAGTATCCAACAAACACTCCTTCATCACTTCTAGGATCAAATTTTCTTAGATCATCTTTTTCATTGTTCAACACAAAACATTTGCAACCAAATCCCCTAAGATAACTCAACGTAGGTTTTCTGTTGTTGAGCAACTCATAGGGAGTCTTAATCAATAAAGACCTTATCAGACATCTGTTAGTAACATGACAAGCTCTGTTGACTGCTTTAGCCCAGAAACTTTGAGAAAGATTTGACTCAATAATCATGGTCCTTGCAATGTTTACCAAGGTTCTGTTATTCCTTTCCACTACTCCATTTTGTTGAGGAGTTCTTGGAGCAGAAAAATTGTGACTAATACCATTCTCCATGCAGAATTGATCAATTTTTGAGTTTTCAAACTCAGTTCCATGATCAAACCTAATTCCAGCAATCACTTGATTCAACTTTGTTTGAATCATTTTGAAAAACACTAACAATTCTTCAGGTGTTTCTGCTTTTGATCTTAGGAATCTTGTCCATGTGTACCTTGAGTAGTCATCAACTATCACCAGAATGTATTTCTTTCCATTTCTACTTTGAACCTTCAAAGGTCCACATAAATCCATGTGTAGCAGCTCCAGTACTCTTCATGATGTTACTTGTTTCTTTTACTTGAAGGATGATCTGATTTGTTTTCCTTTAACACAAGCTTCACAAATTTTATTTTCACAAAATTTCAACTTTGGCAAACCTAGGACCAGGTCCTTAGAAATCAGTTTATTCAATAAAGATGAGCTTACATGCCCTAGTCTTCGATGCCACATATCAGTATTTTCATTTTGAGTACTAAGACATGTCATATCATCTCCATGAGACGTTTCTAAGTTAGCCACATATATGTTTTTACTTATAAAGGCAGTAAGAATCACTTTTTTGTAGTTAGATTAACTACAGTGCACTTCTCAGAAGTAAACTTCACTTCATTTCCCTTATCACAAATTTGAGATACACTTAAAAGACTATACTTCAATCCACTGAGATGATACACATTATCAATTGATTCTCCAAGTGATTTTCCCACTTTACCAACTCCCAAAATATACCCCTTCTTTCCATCACCAAAAGAGACACCTCCTCCCTGAAGTGTCTTGAGTGAGAGGAAATTTTTTATATCACCAGTCATATGTTATGAGCATCCACTGTCCATATACCAACATTGACTGTTTCTCCTCTCACTCACCTGCAGCAAGAATCACTTGTTAGTCTTGGGAACCCATTTCAATTTGAGTTCCCAGAAGGCAGGCAAGGGAGTGATCAGATTGTTTCTAGTCCAATGGGGTAGTTTTGGATTCTTTTTGACAAATGATTTTGGAGCAGAATCAGATCCTTTCTTTAAAAACCTTTAAGTTGAGAATTGTTTTGTGGAACCAGGTCTCTATTTGATACTCTTTGCTTCTTTGTATACTTAGAAAGTCTTTCATGTGACTTTCTCGAGGCAGTATACAATTCTTTTAAATGCTCATTTTTACCACAATGAAGGCAAAGCAAATTGTCAGACACAAAAACATATTTGCTGTGAGAATTAAAAGGAGGAGTAATATTCAAACTTCTTAGACCCTTCTTATTGAAATTACTCTGATTTGTTACATTAGACAGCAGCTTAGATGATTTTGTCCACTTAAGAGATTTTTCAAGTTCATCCTTAAGTTTGAAAATATCTCTTTCTAAGTTGTTGCTCTGCTCCAAAGCCAACCCAAGATTAGTCTCAGAGGTTTTCAGTTTTTCTTCAAGTTCAACTTGTAAACCATTAGACTTTCCCTTTTGCTTTTCAGCTTCTTCATTTATCTGATGCAACTGTTTTTTAAGTTCTCTCTTGTCAGATTCTAGAGAATCCATTTTATCTTCCATTTTCAACATTTTCTCATCCATTTTATCTCTATTTTCATTCAAACTTTCAAGCTCAGCATTCATAATATCTCTTTTAGAAGTTAACTTAATTACTGAATCAATCATAACATTTGCTAATGTTCTCAATTTTTTAAGAGAATAAGTATTCACATCATGTTTCATATCAAGAAGAGTTACCTTGTCCTCCTCTTCTTCATTTTCTGAATGAGCCATAAAAGCAAACATCTCATTGAATATAGTTTCCTCTTCATGAACCACCACCATTGACACGGCATTTGGCTCATAAGGATCTTCTGAGTCACTTGAAGAGTCTCCCCATGCAGCAAGAGCCTTTTTGACCACATAATCAGTAGCAACTTTTTGATCATTTTTATTAAGTACCAAGTCCCTTTTCTTCTCTTTATGACTTCTTGATTTTTGATATTCTTTGTTTTCAGCTTTGCGTAATTGACAATCTCTTATAAAGTGCCCAGCTTTTCCACACTTATAACATGTATCATTTTGAGTGGCAGTTCGAGGAACATTTTCTCCCTTTTTAAAACATTTGTTTTTTCTCACAATCTTCTGAAATCTATTGATGAGATAAGCCGAATCATCATCACTAAAGTCCTCTTCAGATTTGTATTTCAGCATCAAAGACTTATCTTTCTTGACTTCCTTCTTTGACTGATCATGACTTCGATTCATCTCATGAGTCTTTAGATTTCCAATGAAGAGCATCCACTGTTAACACTTTCAGGTCTTTTGCTTCAGTAATAGCATCAACCTTACTTTCCCAAGACTTGGGAAGAATTCGGAGAACTTTCCTAATTTGCTTGCTTATACTGATAGGTTCTCCAAGACTTCTCAACTCATTTGTGATGGATGACAATTTAGTGAACATTTCGTGAATAGTTTTACCTTCTCTCATTTTGAAATTTTCATACAGATAAGTGAGCATATCAATCTTTGACTCTTTTACTTGTTCAGTTCCCTCATGAGCTGTTTTTAAGCAATATCATATCTCTTTTGCAGACTCACAGGCTGAGACACGATTGAACTCATCTGATCCTATCACACAGACAAGAAATCTCTTTGCTTTGTAACCTTTTTCGATCTTCTTCCTATCAGCTTCATCATATTTTTGTCTAGTCTTAGGAACAAGCCTAGTTTTTTCTCCATCTTTCTCTTCAATCATCGGAATAAATGGTCCATCTAAAACAATGTCCCATAGCTCACTGTCTTCAGCCATAAGAAAATCATGCATTCTGACTTTCCACCAACTGTAAAAGTGTCCATTGAAACGAGGAGGTCTAGTAGAAGACTGACCTTCTTCTAGATTAAGTAGAGCGGCCAATCTAGAACAGAGATCACTCTCTTGGTGTTAACCAGATAGAAAGTGTCTGTTCTGATACCACTTGTTAGAATCTATGCATCCACTATCAGTCAATGGACCAGGTACCTTGACACACAAACAAGAATATAACTGAAATTAAATGCAGTTTAACAACACATGAATTTTACAAGGAAACCTCCTTGCTTAAGGGAGTAAAACCACGACCTGTCTCACAGGATTTACACCACTGTTTCACTAATCTTTGCAAGCAAAAGTAAAACCAGTTACACAAATGTGAGAAAAAAATTTTAATCTCACGATCGAGCAATAACTCTATTGCTTGATAAGCCTAAGTAGAAGCTATTCTACCCACTAAGCTATTACTCTACACAACTTAGAATTTCAACACCCACCACACTGATTCCTTTATAGATTTAGGAACAATTTACAATGAAAGACCAAAATAATATATTCTCAAACAACTACACAATATGCGGCAGAGTTTTCGGTTGTTATAAAATAATTCTTCACTTTGATTTTCTATAGCCTTTGAAAGAGTTCTTAAGAGTGCTTTTTCAAGTTGCAAAAACTGAAGATGATGTTAAGAAAAGTGACATTGCAGAGACAAGTCCCTTTCCTTAAACTCATGTCATTGGTTGGAAAGGTCTGACCTTTTTGACGCGGTTGGGAAATGTGCACCCACTTTCAGTACCTTTTTCAGCTGGAAGTCAACAAGCTATTCATGTTGAGAACCTGGTACCTTCACAAGGTCCTTGAGTTTGTTACATCATCAAAACTACAAATAACACTTTTCTACCTAAATTATGACCAATTATGTATGTCGAAGGACATGTTATATCACTCTTTATCAATATTCATGTAGTACATCATGACTCAGCCTAGTGGATGTTGATGTTTGAGTATCAATGTTAGAATTAATTTAGATCCAGACTTGAATTATTCTATATATTAACTAAATACATTGAATGTTTAATAAAATTAGGTAGCTCAGTCAAATTATTTACCATCAGTTAGATTTAGGATTTTGGTTGACGAACTCATTTGCAGATATAAGATTTCAATTTTATGGATGTTTAATTTTGAAATGGTTATTTTAATTATTAATAATTATTTTCTAAATTTAGTAAGTTATTTTAGCAAAATCTACTAAATTTAGTCAACTGATATGGACTTCAATCTCCACTTCTAATGACAGTTAGTTAGAGGACGTGAAAATCTTATTTTAGTTTATGGACCCATAGTTCTCTTTTGCTCTTTGAATTGTTTTAGTCACAAGTATATTGAATGTACTTGAAGAAAAAAACACAATAAAATATTTAACATATGCTATTGAGCTCATATTAATTGTCAATTGATTTTGCTTGTTTTGGTGCTTCTACCTTATATACTATGCACAAGTAGCTAGTTGTATCTACATCAATTGGAAATGTTATGAAGTTAGGTATGTATATTAATTCTTGAATTTTATAAAGATGATAATCGATTGTACATTAATTGTTTTCTAGCCTACTTATTTGGAATTGCTCATCAAGTATGGATATCTTTTGTTATTTATATGCAAATTCAATTTTTCATCATCTCATTATCAGGGTCAGTTATGTTGTCAAAAAGTAGTAGAACATGTGACCTTAGCATGATGTTATCTAGGTAAGATCATATTGTTCTCGGCGGTTGCATTGCTGGAAAGCTCATAGCTACTACTTCGATACATGTGTTATTCTAACTATACTTATCCTTGGTGCATGACTCGAAATTCAGTGGACAATGGTCTCACCCCTATATTTGTCACTTAAGTAGAAAGCTTACTTTGAACCTTGTTGTGTGCAAAACTTGCAACCTTGGGATGTTCTTACCCTTATTTTTGAGTGTTTATTGTGAACTTGCTAATGATTTTCAATTCACTATCAGGTGGTCCTGAGTAGCTTTATTCCCGAAAAGGAAAAGCCCGAGTCCAAGGGTGACGATGATGCTCCCAAGGATATTCGAATCGTTGATCCCCCCCCCCAAGCTGTGTAGGCAATTGAATGCAGAGCAAAAGGGGCAGATCCTTCTACTCCTCTCAACAACGAATGTGTTGTTGAAGTTGGATTTTCTTATCGACCCTTCCAAGACATTTCTTCTAAAGTGTGGCATACGAGCCAGATTAAGAAATTCATTGATTTTGAAGTTTGAAGTTTGTGATTATGAGTTGAAGAATGTATTGTATTTCAGTCAGTTGCATTTTGAATATTTACTGATTTTATATCTTAGATTAAAATGAGATGGTTGGAAAGATTAGAATTAATTTTGGGTGTATTCAATATCATATTTTTCATAGAGAAATCTTTGATCAAGGAATCATATTACTTATGATGGATTGCTCTAATAATTGCTTTTGGTAGTTTTTTATCATTGAATTTATTTGGAACTGTAATATCTCACAAATTGAAATAACTGGGAAGAAGTTTAGAGTTTGAATGTCATTTTTGGAAAGTATACAAAAAAAACTAGAAAATTTGTTAAGTATGTTAGGTTGAGTTTTTGGTCAATTTCAAATGACCATAACTCATAGCTCAGAATGATTTAGGTGTGTTTCCAGATATAGTAAGAAATATCTTGGAATAATCTTTCCAATGCCGCCAAATTTTCTCAATTCCAAGATTTATGAGTGAGATATGTCCACTAGAAGTTGGGATGTCTAATTAAGAAAAGTCAAAAAATTGGATTTTTGAAGGGTGGTTTGGTCTTTTCCTTATCCTATTATTTTAATTAACTTTTGGTAATTACTTAGGGGTCTGAACTGAACTTGGTCAGTTTGCGTTTTTTAAATTTGAGTTAGGCTTTTAGAGGAGAAAAAAGAAGAGAAAAGAGAAGACGAAAAAGAAGCAAGGAAATTGTCAAGTTCTTCAAGATTCTCTTGTGAAATTTGTAAATGGGTGATCTCTACGTGTTCTGTGAGATCACATAGCATAGGGTTATTTCACTCACTCGCCAATCATGATTTGTTTCATCGAATTTAAGTCTTTGAAAGTTTAGAAATTGAATTCTTGATGGGTTCGTTGAAGTTCCTTTGAGTTCTTGATTCATTGAAATTGCTGAGGAGTTGTTTGATCCAAATTCATTTAATTAGGTGTGATTTCCAGTTAAATCTTTCATACTTTGAACATGTAATCGATTCTAAATGTTTGGGGAAAGAACCAAGTGAAATTATTAGAGGGTTTAGAGTTGAAAAACGAGCCAGATAAGTCATAATGTACCTGGGTAGGGGCCTTGTGGCCGTCTCTCTCAGAGCCCCAAAGAAGGGGTCACTGAAGTATGGTCTATGGTACATCGCTCCATCCAATTCCCCGGCCAACCCAAGCCTCCGAAGTTTTAAGTTTGGCGCCCCACGCCTCTTAGAGCGCCAGGGACACCAGTTCTTCCCATTTCTTCTCAATCTTTCCATACTAGTTCCTTAGCAACATACCTATATTTTCTCGTTGATTCCAACACTCTAAGGTGCGTCTAAACATCATGAAATCATTCATAAGAATGAGATCATGAATCTTGGATCCATAATCCAATTCAAAGAAAGTTAATATCAAAGTCAGAAGAAGTAAAAGTCAAGTCAAGAAGAGTTTTTAGAGTTTTTCAAAGTCTTTTCCAAATATTTTAACTTTGCTTTAAGACTTAAGTTCAAGTTGAGTAAAGAGTAAATATTGAAGTTCATTTCTTCAAAGAGTATATGGGGACTGTGTATTCCCAAAGATTTAAAATGTTTTCACATTTAAACAAGGTTACGAAGATGGACTTTGAGCTAACCTTTGAGCAATTATTTCAAATCACAAAGAATTATGTTTTAAACCATAAGAGTTATCATCATATTTTGTGAATAGTATTGAGCTCCGACATGGGGAAGTTTTCCAAAAACTCACAGCCCCATAAACCATGTAGCCACCATGGGTAGAAGAGGGTCAGACTTTTTAGATGATTTATTGGTGCTTTTAAGCATAGACTAGTGTATCCACTTAGTAGTTCAAATTCTATACCCTCGGCAAGTATAAGACGACCTTGGTAGTGTGAGACAAAACATCTCATCACAATAGCTCTTACCTGACAGTTGTCGATTACAGAAATTCCCACATAAGTAATTGTATCCTTGTATACACAGTTTACTTGTATTTTTACATACATTTCAAAGTTATATTGTATATTTGCATACACACAAGATTGACATCCTATTTTTAAAAGCTTTTCTTTATATTCCACTTGCTTTAAACTACTTTACCTTGAAATGAGTTTACTTATGTTGAATTGAGTTAAGTTGGTCCAGGTAAATTCTTTAGGTCCTTTCAAGTTTATGCCTTGTTTTAGAATTCCCCCTGCATACTCG